AGGTGCTGTATAGTGTACCCCCGTGTACTAGGTGCTGTATAGTGTACCCCTGTGTACTAGGTGTTGTGTAGTGTACCCCGTGTACTAGGTGCTGTATAGTACCCCCGTGTAGTAGGTGTTGTGTAGTGCACCCTCGTACTAGGTGTTATGTAGTGTACCCCGTACTAGGTGTTGTGTAGTGTACCGTGTAGTAGGTGCTGTGTAGTGCACCCCGTGTACTAGGTGTTGTGTAGTGCACCGTGTAGTAGGTGCTGTATAGTGTACCCCCGTGTACTAGGTGCTGTATAGTGTACCCCCGTGTACTAGGTGTTGTGTAGTGTACCCCCGTGTACTAGGTGCTGTATAGTGTACCCCGTAGTAGGTGTTGTGTAGTGTACCCCTGTACTAGGTGTTGTGTAGTGCACCGTGTACTAGGTGCTGTGTAGTGTACCCCGTGTAGTAGGTGCTGTATAGTGTATCCCCGTGTACTAGGTGCTGTATAGTACCCCCGTGTACTAGGTGTTGTGTAGTGTACCCCCGTAACTAGGTGTTGTGTAGTGTACCCCGTGTACTAGGTGTTGTGTGTGCACCCCCGTACTAGGTGCTGTATAGTGCACCCGTGTACTAGGTGCTGTATAGTGTAACCCCGTAGTGGTGTTGTGTAGTGTACCCCCTGTACTAGGTGTTGTGTAGTGTAACCCCGTGTACTAGGTGCTGTGTAGTGTACCCCGTGTACTAGGTGCTGTATAGTGTACCCCGTGTATAAGTGTTGTGTAGTGTACCCCCGTGTAGGTGCTGTATAGGTACCCCGTGTACTAGGTGTTGTCTGGTGCACCCCGTGTACTAGGTGCTGTATAGGAACCCCGTGTACTAGGTGCTGTGTAGTGCACCCCGTGTAGTAGGTGCTGTGTAGTGTACCCCGTAGTAGGTGCTGTGTAGTGCACCCCGTGTAGTAGGTGCTGTGAGGCCCCGTGTAGTAGGTGCTGTGTAGTGTACCCCGTGTAGTAGGTGCTGTGTATTGTACCCCGTGTAGTAGGTGCTGTATAGTGTACCCCCGTGTAGTAGGTGTTGTGTAGTGTACCCCGGGTAGTGCACCCCCGTGTACTAGGTGTGTTGTGTAGTGTACCCCGTGTACTAGGTGCTGTATAGTGTACCCCCTGTACTAGGTGTATAGTGTACCCCCGTGTACTAGGTGTTGTGCAGTGTACCCCCGTGTAGTAGGTGTTGTGTAGTGCACCCCGTGTAGTAGGTGCTGTGTAGTGTACCCCCGTGTAGTGTACCCCGTGTACTAGGTGTTGTGTAGTGTACCCCCGTGTACTAGGTGCTGTAGTGTACCCCCTGTACTAGGTGCTGTATAGTGTACCCCCCGTGTACTAGGTGTTGTGCAGTGTACCCCCGTGTAGTAGGTGTTGTGTAGTGTATCCCGTGTAGTAGGTGCTGTATAGTGTACCCCCGTGTAATAGGTGTTGTGTAGTGTACCCCGTGTAGTGTACCCCCGTGTAGTAGGTGCTGTATAGTGTGCCCCCGTGTAGTAGGTGTTGTGTAGTGTCCCCCGTGTAGTGTATCCCCGTGTAGTAGGTGCTGTATAGTGTCCCCCGTGTAGTAGGTGTTGTGTAGTGTACCCCCGTGTAGTGTACCCCCGTGTACTAGGTGTTGTGTAGTGTCCCCCCGTGTACTAGGTGCTGTATAGTGTACCCCCTGTACTAGGTGCTATAGTGTACCCCCGTGTACTAGGTGTTGTGCAGTGTACCCCCGTGTACTAGGTGCTGTAGTGTACCCCCGTGTACTAGGTGCTGTATAGTGTACCCCCGTGTACTGGGTGTTGTGTAGTGTACCCCCGGTGTAGTAGGTGCTGTGTATTGTACCCCCGTGTACTAGGTGCTGTATAGTGTCCCCCGTGTACTAGGTGCTGTATAGTGTACCCCCGTGTACTAGGTGCTTGTAGTATGCCCCGTGTACTAGGTGTTGTGGTATGCCCCCGTGTAGTAGGTGCTGTGTAGTGTCCCCCGTGTAGTAGGTGCTGTATAGTGTACCCCGTGTACTAGGTGCTGTGTAGTGTACCCCGTGTACTAGGTGTTGTGTAGTGTACCCCGTGTAGTAGGTGCTGTATAGTGTACCCCCGTGTACTAGGTGTTGTGTAGTGTACCCCGTGTGTGTCTGTGAAGTGTATCCCCGTGTAGTAGGTGCTGTGTAGTGTACCCCGTGAAGTAGGTGCTGTGTAGTGTACCCCGTGTACTAGGTGCTGTGTAGTGTACCCCGTGTAGTAGGTGTTGTGTAGTGTACCCCGTGTAGTAGGTGCTGTGTAGTGTACCCCCGTGTACTAGGTGCTGTATAGTGTACCCCCCGTGTACTAGGTGCTGTATAGTGTACCCCCGTGTACTAGGTGTTGTGTAGTGTACCCCGTGTAGTAGGTGTTGTAGTGTACCCCGTGTACTAGGTGCTGTATAGTGTACCCCCGTGTACTAGGTGCTGTGTAGTGTACCCCCGTGTACTAAGTGCTGTGTAGTATACCCCGTGTAGTAGGTGCTGTATAGTGTACCCCATGTACTAGGTGTGTATGGTCACAGCACCTACTACCGGCCTTTCACTACTACACAGAGGTACTACAACACAGCTGTGAAATTACTACAACACCTACTGCAGTACAACAAGGTACACCTATACACCTAGTACCTGATATAGTGTACCCCTGTACTGGGTGCTGTGTGGTGTGCCCCCGTGTAGTAGGTGCTGTGTGTGTGCCTGTACTAGGTGCTGTGTAGTGCCCCGTGTAGTAGGTGCTGTGTAGTGTACTCCCGTGTAGTAGGTGCTGTGTAGTGTACCCCCGTGTAGTGCACCCCCGTGTACTAGGTGTTGTGTAGTGTGCCCCCGTGTACTAGGTGCTGTATAGTGTACCCCCGTGTAGTAGGTGTTGTGTAGTGTACCCCGTGTAGTAGGTGCTGTATAGTGTACCCCCGTGTAGTAGGTGTTGTGTAGTGTCCCCCGTGCACTAGGTGCTGTGTAGTGTACCCCTGTACTAGGTGTTGTGTAGTGTACCCCGTGTATAGGTGCTGTATAGTGTGCCCCCGTGCTAGGTGCTGTGTAGTGTCCCCCGTGTGTAGGTGCTGTGTAGTGTACCCCCGTGTAGTGTACCCCCGTGTACTAGGTGTTGTGTAGTGCCCCGTGTACTAGGTGCTGTATAGTGTACCCCGTGTAGTAGGTGCTGTATAGTGTGCCCCCCGTGTACTAGGTGCTTGTAGTGTACCCCGTGTACTAGGTGTTGTGTAGTGTACCCCGTGTACTAGGTGCTATAGTGTACCCCCGTGTAGTAGGTGTTGTGTAGTGTACCCCGTGTACTAGGTGCTGTGTAGTGCCCCGTGTAGTAGGTGCTGTGTAGTGTACCCCCGTGTACTAGGTGCTGTGTAGTGCCCCCGTGTACTAGGTGCTGTATAGTGTGCCCCCGTGTAGTAGGTGCTGTGTAGTGTGCCCCGTGTACTAGGTGTATGTAGTGTACCCCCGTGTACTAGGTGCTGTATAGTGTACCCCGTGTAGTAGGTGCCGTGTAGTGTACCCCGTGTACTCGGTGCTGTGTAGTGTACCCCGTGTGGGTGCTGTATAGTACCCTGTGTACTAGGTGCTGTATAGTGTACCCCGTGTAGTAGGTGCTGTGTAGTGTACCCCCGTGTAGTGTACCCCCGTGTACTAGGTGTTGTGTAGTGTACCCCCGTGTACTAGGTGCTGTATAGTGTACCCCTGTACTAGGTGCTGTATAGTGTACCCCCGTGTAGTAGGTGCTGTGTAGTGTGCCCCGTGTACTAGGTGCTGTGAGTGTACCCCCGTGTACTAGGTGCTGTATTAGTACCCCGTGTAGTAGGTGCTGTGTAGTGTACCCCCGTGTAGTAGGTGTTGTGTAGTGTACCCCGTGTAGTAGGTGCTGTGTAGTGTGCCCCCCGTGTAGTAGGTGCTGTATAGTGTGCCCCCGTGTAGTAGGTGCTGTGTAGTGTGCCCCGTGTACTAGGTGCTGTGTAGTGTACCCCGTGTACTAGGTGCTGTGTAGTGTACCCCCGTGTACTAGGTGCTGTGTAGTGTACCCCGTGTAGTAGGTGCTGTGTAGTGTACCCCGTGTAGTAGGTGCTGTATAGTACCCCCGTGTACTAGGTGCTGTATAGTGTACCCCCGTGTAGTAGGTGCTGTGTAGTGTACCCCCGTGGTGTGCACCCCCGTGTACTAGGTGCTGTGTAGTGTACCCCCTGTACTAGGTGTTGTGTAGTGTACCCCGTGTACTAGGTGTTGTGTAGTGTCCCCCTGTACGATGTACTGTATAGTGTACCCCCGTGTACTAGGTGCTGTATAGTGTCCCCCGTGTACTAGGTGTTGTGTAGTGTACCCCCGTGTACTAGGTGCTGTATAGTGTCCCCCTGTACTAGGTGTTGTGTAGTGTACCCCCTGTACGATGTGCTGTATAGTGTGCCCCCGTGTACTAGGTGCTGTATAGTGTACCCCCGTGTACTAGGTGTACAACTCCATGACTCCTGATTCGAAGCTTCGTTCTTGAAATAATTCGAATCCTTGGTGTTTCGCGAGGCCTTGAATGTGATGTCATGAGTGGGGGGGGGGGAGCTTAGGAACAAGGTGTTGGGCTATGTACTGATCGTTGTGCTTGTTTGTTATGACCATTAACACCACAGTGATGATATTTACTTTATAATATCTTAAGTAATATATACACGATCTTTACTTATCAACCAAAATTATTTAAGTCTTTCTGTCTGTCTGCCAACTAAAATCTATTGACGTATTCAGCAAAATTTATTATCGTTTCCCTTCCATGTTATTATCGATTTGTTTGTAACTTCTTCAATGCCTTATCTTGAGGTTAAATCACCACGAATTTAGGGATAATATATGGATAAATTATTGTAAAAAATAACAGAGAAAATCTTATAATAAACGTTTAAAAGACATGAACAAGTGAGAATGAAAACAAAAAATCTAATTTGGACTATTATTTAGGGTATTAGAATTTAAATAAAAACAAAATCTACCAAAACTAGTTCATTTATTAAATAATAATAATACATAAATAGTAAACACTATCCAGACAGTCATTCACACAATTACATCTAGACAAAAGTTGAAACAAAATTTAGCCTAGAGAATAAGTATAGGCTCATAGTCTTTGGTATTTTATATAGGCAGTAGGAGCTGGTAAACAAAGTGTGTATCTAACGTAAAACATAGAATTTTTATGAATATTTACCTTACATAAACAGATGAATAAAAAATACATTACAAGATCCATACACAATAATTCTTTTAATCTATACATATATTCTATACATTATACATCGCGTTTTCATTGTACAGATGAGTATTGTAGGAGTGTATGGGTGTATATGTGTGTTTCAGTATACAGTAAGTGTGTGGGTATGTATTGTATTTTGAGTGTATTTAAGTATGTTTCAGTCCGTGTATGTTTTATGTGTATGAGTGTGTGATTCTGGATGGCTGTCAATACCACCCAGTTGTACCGACACATCATCCAAGCACCACACTTCTAAACTATTACCTAAAGCTGCTCCTTCACGAATTAACCTGAATATAACGAAGGATGAAGCCAAATACGATCGAGCAAACACTTGCTAACACACGAGGGAATCTTGGTGACGTAAAGCTTACATTTGGCAACTGTTGGGTTTTTTTGGTAAGGGTTATGGGAGGGGGGGGGGGTAGGGAGGGAGAGGTTTTGTGGGATAGGAACACTGATATGTTTTCTTGTGGGTTTTTGTACGGAAGAGGAAGGGAGGAAGGGGGATTTTATAATCTAATGGGTTGTGACCTGATTGGCTGTGACCTCATTGGCTGGGACATGATTGGCTCTGATAGCATTGACTGGGACATGATTGGTTGTGATCTCATTGACTGGGACATGATTGGTTGTGATCTCATTGGCTGGGACATGATTGGTTCTGATCGCATTGGCTGGGACATAAGTGGCTGTGATCTTATTGGCTGGGACATAAGTGGCTGTGATCTTATTGGCTGGGATCGCCCCTCGAAGAACTGGCGCTCATTTTCTCTAATAAGATCGATGTCAAATATCTCGGCATCAGGGTTGGCTGGACGAGGAAAAGCACCGATGTAGTTAACGGCGATGTCGTCATGGTTCCTGATGGGGATAATATCGTTGGAGGTGGGCGTGAAGGCTTCGTCGTGGGCGGTTTCAAACTCCCTTGCCACCTCAGGTACTGGTTCAGGGTTGAATTCGTAGGCGTCCTTGTCGTTAGGGAGTTCGAGGGTGTTGTCGTGGTGGGTGTTGCCGAAGAGAGTGTTGTCGTGGTGGGTGTTGTCGAAGAGGGTGTTGTCGTGGTGGGTGTTGTCGTGGTGGGTGTTACCGAAGAGGGTGTTATCGTATTGGTTATTATGGTGGTAGCGGTGGGTGTTGTCGTCCAGGGTGTTGGTGTTGATGGGGGAGGGGGAACGCTTGAAGGTGTTGGAGAGCCAATTCAGAATCCATCGGCGATTACGAGATGTTGGGACTCGAGAAACAAACTGTGTTAAGGAGACATAACATTAATTTAGGAGAAGATTTAAGAGGATATAAGACACGATATTCCTCCATAAATATGATACACAATATATTCCAATTTGTTACAGCGGATTGTTAAAGCAGAAACACGATGTATATTATAAAGCTCCAACTAGCGGTCTGTGGCACTTACCTTTGTGTTTACGAGAGCTTTTGAGTTAGCTGTAGATGTGGGGTTTTAACAATGATGGTTAGCTGTGGTTTGGGATTAACTTTGTTAGCTGAGGACAAAGCTGGTCTGAGGACATTACAAGTTGGATATTGGTAAAGGTTTAGTAACACGTATTTACACATTAGTTCACCTGTTAGCTGAGGGAGTGACGTAGGTCAATAAAACAAACGTTCATTAATGACAGCTTTATTCTGGCGTCTTAACAGAGGCAGAATATGATTAAGGCTGGATGGTTATAAGGTTTTGGGGTTATAGCGAGATTATTATGTAGTATTAGAAGCATACAGACGGGCACACATATATGGATCTGACGTTGTATAAAGCAGTTAAATGGAAAAGCTTAAGCTGATTATTGTTGGCGATGTTTGCCGGCTCGACCTGTGTCACTTTCTCAAGAACTTACCCCGAAATCCTCGTAGGGTTGCACCTGGTTGTCTGCGACGTTGGGCTGTTCTGCTGCCTCGCCTTCAGCTGGTTGTTCGTTCTCTCCTGCAGCAGGTTCTTGGGCATCATCGCCGGCAGTAGGGACAGAATCCTCGGTGCCTGAGTCTTCTGGTAGCTTTCTGACGATGTGGGTGTGAACCACGACCACTCCACCTTCATGAGTCGTCTTGCTGATGGTGCTGTTCACCTCCACACGGGAGCCGTTTACAACCTTCACCTCGTGGGTAGAGTTGTCATAGTTGGGTGGAAGATCGCTGGGCAGGTCCACGTCAAAGCCCGGGAAGCCATCTGAATCGAAGCTCGGGAAGGAGACGTCGGTAAAGAACGGAACGTCGAAGATAACCAGCGGAAAGTCGTCAGTAGTGGGATCAGTGTCAGAGGGTGCCACGCCTTCTGTCTCAGGTGTTCTTCTCACACCAAACAGTTCTGGAAGGAGCAAAAGATGTGTAAGATAAACCACCTGGGTGATGTTATTTATAGTATTGCCGTGTGATGACCTTCCAGTCTACACCATATATCTGGCAGTTGTCGGTGATCACGTGACTTCCTTCAACCCCCTCCCCCCCCCACACACGTCGATCAACAAAAACAATAACAAGTAAATAAAAAAAAACCTATTGTATGGCTCCTGACTCCCCGCTACAATACATAAACAAAAGTGTGGTAATAACAATCGTCCTTCACAATGGCGTCGGTCACAGGCCAATGAGCTGTGTAGGACAAAAGAGACATGCAACTTCCTCTCAACTCAGGTTTCCCGGAGTATCAGGTGTGGCGAGGAGTAATTATTGATGCACTTAACTACGAATATAAGAGCTAATATCCCTTATACTTACAGAACTACGAAGTAATTGTGTCTTATTTTACGTTTTAAACTACATTCCTTTTAAATATTGACCAAGTTCCCCAATATAATGATTATTTGGTGAATAAACGAGAAAATATCACACGTAGAGAAATGTAAAGAAAAACACTGAGTAGAAGTGGCATGCCTATCACCAACTAATGTGTTAAAATCTTCTCTAAAATTAACAATTACGAAGCAAAAACTCCAAAGAAAAACAAAAGAAAGTGCATTATTGACATTTAAGACGTTCTAGAGTGAATAGGGAATCAGAGTGGCGGGGAAAACGATGATAAAATATACTGAAATCTCCCGCCGAAATTCCAATGGCGCTTTCGACTACAATAACATAAAAATCAGGTTATAATGACAAATATCCAAAGAAAATGGCATAATAGCGCGTATGAGGAGACAATATAGAGGGCGGAAGGTGGAGGGTGTAGTTGACAGTCATGGGAGCGTACAAGGACATTCTCAGGGGGGAAGCAATAAGTGGAAAATATTCGAGGAAACAAGGTATTAGTTACGGCATTGAATTCCTTAACAGTGTAAAGTTTCTATTCTGGAAGGAGATTCGAATACCGTTTACCTGTTTATTCTTCATTATTATAAAGAATTAAATTACTTGCACATTACAGTGAATTATAGTGAAAAATAGGGCGAATTACAATGCTGTGAATATAGTGCCAATCACTGTAGGTGGAAAACAGTGCTAATCATAGTACAGGTGCAAAAATAGTGCTAATAACAGTGCTGTGAATATAGTGACAATCACTATAGGTGGAAAACAGTGCTAATCATAGTGCAAGTGACAAATGGTGCTAATCACAGTGCAGGTTCATATAGTGCCAACCACAGTCCAGATATTAGAACCAATCACAGTGCAGGTTCATATAGTGCCAATTACGACAATTAATTTCATTATACCTCTTAGGAGTGTCCTAATTATGGACTCTCCCTGACCGGGCCGAAAAGGAATGATCTCGAAGAATCCATCTCCTCCGTCAGTAGGCCCGCGCCCCTGGTCCCTGGGATCCACAGAGATCACCTCGGCTTCGGGATTAAACCCTGAGGGGAAGCGAGGGGGAAGGGGGGGTGATGATAGTAACTTAGACAAGAGAGGGAGAGGTTGGGTTGGGTTGGGCTGGGCTGGGCTGGGTTGGGTTGGGTTGGGGCTGGGCTGGGCTGGGCTGGGCTGGGCTGGGCTGGGTTGGGTTGGGCTGGGCTGGGCTGGGTTGGGCTTGGGTTGGGTTGGGTTAACTTTAAAGAGAACCAGAATTGTATCAAAAAGGAAAGTTAAGGATTACGTGAATAACAATGATGGGTTTTTGTTTTTTGAGGAACACCAACATAGAAAAACATAAGGACTCCTTCACACAATAACATTAAGGATAACGAAGGACGCTGACTGTGGCTGAAGGACGCTCAGAGTGAGTCATCGCTCGCCCTCGGGAAACTTAAGTGTCCTCCATCCATCCTTGATATCATTACGTAGGACGCTTGGGTGGTGGGGCGTGGCAGAGGGGATTGTGTGTGGCGGGGGGGGCAGGTATAAACAGCCCACGGAGAAAGAAGAGGGTGGGGGATGTTTCTGTGAGGGGATTAGGGGAATGAATAGGGATAGGAGGGGGAGGGAGTGTAGGGAAAACATTGTGAGGGAGCAGAGAGAGAAGAAGACATTTCTGGGGAGGAGGGAGAAGGAGGAGGGGAATATATTGTGGGCAGGGGAAGGGGGAAGATGAAGGGAAGAGAGGAGAGAAAGAGGCGTGGGATGGAATGGGAACAGTAAGAGGCGTAAGGAGGAGGAGGAGAAGGGAAGGGGGAAGGGGAGATGTGTGTGAGAGGGATGGAGTGTAGGTGTAGGAGGGAGTGTGGGGGAGTGGGCGTGAGCGGATTTATCTAGCACATAAAACAAAAGCTGGCCCTCTTGTGTAACCCAACACTCGCCAGCGTGTGTGTGTGTGTGTGCGGATGTTCACTTGTGTATCTGCATGGCTATATATACTGTATATATATATATATATATATATATATATATATATATATATATATATATATATATATATATATATATATATATATATATATATATATTGTGTAAGTATGTGTGTATGTAACCGTGTTTATGACTGTGTTCGTGTGTGTTTGAATATGCACACAAGTTACAGTATGTATTTGTTTATGAAAGTGTACAAATGACTACAGGTTTGTGAGTTTATCAAGATTAGTGTTTGTGTTCGTTAATCAAATGGTCTCACCCACTGCCCGTCGATATAAGTGTGATATAATATACTGGTAGATTATGAACCTTCTGCGACTCCGTCAGAAGGCCGTGGGCGTAGGGAAGGCAGCAGAATCTTACCTTGGGGAGCGGTGAGGGCGGCGCCCACCATGGCCAACAACACAGCCAACTTCATCATCTTCCTCGACGTCTTGGTATTTGTCAACAAACGTGTGAGTCCAAAAGTAATGCCGAATATGTCTTCTCCTGAGGATCAAGCTGTATAAAGCACTCAGCAGGCCGTCTTGATCACTCTTCACTAGTAGTGCTCCTGTGAGGACACTGCAAACACAAGCGACTTACTGCCGGTGAGGTCGGCTTATATGTGATGGTGGAGGAGGCTGCCAGGGGTCGCAAGAGGGGCCGGTGTCACTGTGGTGGTCAGGGCGTCTGTTGTCAGTTTCCGGTTGCGTATACCAGGCCCAGCACGGCTAAATTTGGGTGTGCGTTATGGACCCACGTGTCACAATCATCCAGGAGTAGTACTGAAGGTGTTTGTTTCTACTTCAGGAAGAGGAAGAAAGAGAGAATTACCTACGTGGTGTTGGTAAGATGAGAAAATGGGGAGGAGGGGGGGGGGAGAAAACTATTATGACGTCACTGATTGAAATGCCTGTTGTTGTGAGGCGTGACGTCACGAGTTCTGCGTCACGACTTCACAGAAGCTCACGTCTCTCCAACACCGTCAGGGAGGTCCTCAACTGTCACAGGGAGAGGGATAGTCTCCCGCTCCTCACCAGTCATCGCTAAGTACCCCTTACTTTCTCACGTAGGCATTACTTACTGCCTTATTACTGTCTTATTGTCACGTAACACCGACCCAATGTCCCCTTCTAGCACTGTCCTCCTTCCTTGATCATAATGGCACTGTCTATCTCCTTGGCACCACCACCAGGATAGAGGGAAAGGGGTGCCAGTCTACGGTAGCAACAAGGCAGTGGCACTCATTAGTACCCGACACTCCATACCTTCCTTCCCCCCTCTCCTTCTCCCCTTCCTCCCTCATTCCCGTCTTCTCTCCTTCTCTCCCTCACTCCCCTGTCTCCTCCCTCTTTTTTCTCTTCTTTCCTCCCTTATTCCCTTCTTTCCCTCTTCGCGCCTTCCCTTCAGTCCCCATCCCTCCCTTTCTCTTTCACTCCCTTCTCTTATTCTCTTTTCACCCCTTCCTCGCTCCGTCTTTGGAAATACTGGCCTTAGCGTCTGTTTGGTGGGCAGGATTAGAGAGAGAGAGAGAGAGAGAGAGAGAGAGAGTTCCATTGGCCCATAAGCATGGTAGTAGTTGTGGTGGTGGTAGTACTGATAGTAGTAGTGATAGTGGTAGGGCATACATCCTGGGGTGACAAGAGGTCAGTGGCAGGGGTGTTACGATAGGGGAGAGGGGGAGAAAAGGGGAGGGGAAGGGAGGGGAAGGGGAGGAGAAGGAAACGGGTGGAGGGGAGGCAGGGAAGAAGGGACGGAGGGAGGAAGGGATGCGAAGGGAGAAAGAAGGGGAAGGAAAGAAAGAGGAGGGAAGGTTGAAGTGGAGAGAAGAGGGAGAGAGAATGGGCAGTGGAGGAAGGGGAAGGAAGGAAGGGGAGGAGGGACGGAAAAGGACGGACGGAGGGAGGAAGGAGGAAAGGGAAGGGAAAAGTGTAGTGGGCGGGGAAGGAGAGGATGGGAGGGAAGAAGGAGGAGGGGAGAAAGAGGAGGGGGGGAGACTCACCAATGGATTGTCACTTAAGATAACTTGATATTTGAGCCCTGGGGGGGGGGAGGTGGGGAGGGGGAGGTGGGGAGGGGGAGGTGGGGAGGGGTGATGCAGAAGATGAACATATACTAATAAGGTCATGTTTTGGTCTCGTCAGTAAAACACACAGACACACACACACACACACACACACACACAAGGAAATACATGTGGTACTTGTGATATGACTTGTAGGCCCTTGTGAACAGTGATTTGCATTTCCAGGGAACAGAACACGAAGAACAAACAGAACACGGTATGTATAAGTGAAGAACAAAGATGAAATAGTGTGAGAAAATGAAAAAAAAAAGTGAAACAACATAACAAAATAAAGAACAAAGGTAAAACAGTATTTCCAGAGAAAAGAGATCGAAGAACAGAGCTAAATATTGAACACCAGGTAGCACAAGGTCACGCTGCAGCTCGTTTACACCTGGAGGATGAAATTACACGAATCGCAACATCCAAATCATCGTTCGTGGAAATCTGTATAACGTCACTGTCATTCCAATATATCATTCACGAACATTAAACCTATAAAAAAAAAAAAAGCAATCATTACACTTCAATTACAAATATTTACAGGTAATCTTTCATAATATATACACGGAAGGAGGTTATGACGTTTAGAAAATCCACAACGCAATGAGGATTTAATATCATTTTTCCAGAACGATTTGTCAACAGTAACAGCGGGAAGTACTGCTCGTTAAATCTATTTGTTTTAGTTCCCCGGTCTCTTAAATAATGTCGTTCGTTCATTCATCCGTTTAGTCATGATAATTTCCGTAAGATAAATGTACAATATATAATAGGTGCCATTAAAGGTGCCATTAGGAGTGCCATTAAGAGTGCCATTAGGAGTGCCATTAAGAGTGCCATTAGGAGTGCCATTAAGAGTGTCATTAGGAGTGCCATTAAGAGTGCCTTGGGTCATTAGTGCCAATATTAGTGTTGTTTAATTTGTATCTGTAATTAGTTTGTCTAAATAAATTGTTTCAATGTCAATCTAACTTCATCCACTGTCTACACGCCTATCATACCAGCATACATCCACACACGCCTTACCACGCCTACCCTGATGCATACCAATACACGCACCGCGCCCCCCCACGCCCCCTCCCACACACACGAAGCACTGGAGTCATAGTTGTTGGTGTGTCACTTAAAAGTTAAGATAACACTATGTAAGGAATGTTTCAGGTAAATTGTGAATCATTTTTTTATTGCTTGGTTACGTGTGTTCTCTCTCTCTCTCTCTCTCTCTCTCTCTCTCTCTCTCTCTGTGTGTGCTGAATAGATTATATCCATATGACAATAATTTAGATATAAATAATAATAAGAAGAAAAAGAAAGACAAGAAGAAGCAGTAGAAAGAGGAGAAGAAGAAGACGAAAAAGAAGAAGAAGACGACAAAGAAGACGAAGAAGACACAGAAGAAGACACAATAATGGGGACAGTAAGAGGCAGGGTTGACTCAGGCAGACTTATGAAGTAAACCAAACGATAAACAGGATGGCGTGGCACTCGTTAACACTCATACCTCTTCTCCCCCTCCTCCTCTCCCTCCCCCTCCTCCTCCTATCCTTCCGGTACAGCTGTTCACTATCCCTCCTTCTCACTCACTGAGTCCACCCTCATCATTCCACTCTCTACCCCTCCACTTCCTCCTCCTCCTCCTCTTCTTCCTCCTGCTCTTCTTCTTCTTCTTCCTCCTCCTCCTCTTCTCCTCTTCCTCCTGCTCTTCTTCTTCTTCTTCCTCCTCCTCCTCTTCTCCTCTTCCTCCTGCTCTTCTTCTTCCTCCTCCTCTTCTCCTCTTCCTCCTCTTCCTCCTGCTCTTCTTCTTCTTCCTCCTCCTCCTCCTCTTCTCCTCTCCTCCTCCTCCTCCTCCTCCTCCTCCTCCTCTTCTCCGCTTCCTCCTCTTCCTCCTGCTCTTCTCTTCTTCCTCCTCCTCCTCCTCTTCTCCTCCTCCTCCTCCTCCTCCTCCTCCTCCTCCTCCTCCTCCTCCTCCTCCTCCGCCTCCTCCTCCCTCCTCCCTCCTCCTCCTCCTCCTCCTCCTCCTCCTCCTCCTCCTCCTCCCTCCTCCTCCGCCTCCTCCTCCTCCTCCTCCTCCTCCTCCTCCTCCTCCTCCTCTTCCTATTCTTCCGGTACAGCTGTTCAACATCCCTATAGATGATGCAACACAGAGCAACTAAGCTAACTCCTGAACTGTCAACTAGATTATACCCAAGTAGAGTGAGGGCCTTAGAACTAACAACCCTTCAGACAAGACAACAGAGGAAAACATGAACCCGGGACGTTATTTGTGATGTCACACACCACCAACACGAGGGGACATAACTACAGCTCGCCAAGTTATCATACAGAAGGAACATAAGGAAATAATTCTTTACACAACCCAAGACGAGACTATCAAGAGCAATATAGAGATCCTACACTGGCTACTGGAGTCCTTCCCTCAGTATGGCCACCTCTACTCGCGTGGCCATTAGGTTAATAAGGATGTGAGGTGGCATTAGTGTAGATGATTATAATGGGGTAGGGTAGAGAACACTGCCTTGGGGGACTCCGCTAATGTCCCATCTCTTCTCTCTGTCTTTTCTTCTCGTTTATCTCTTTTCTATCTCTCCCTCTCCTAACCTTTCCACCATATTATCCCTACCTCCTCCTCCTCCTCCTCTCATTTATCACTCTTCTTCCCTCTCATTTACCCCCTTTATTCCCACTCATTTACCCCTCTCTCCTCCCTCTCCCTAATATACTCACGAGACATACACATCCCCCTCAAGAGAGTTATGCAACAGTTGGTTAAGTTATATTTGATTAGGTTAAGTTAATTTACGTTAAATTAGCTTTGGTAAAGTTAGATTGAGTCACGTCTGGTGGCAATGAGTAGAACATTCCTACATGTTTTGATTTACTTGTCCTTAATTACACAATATCTTCTAATTTCCTCCAGGTACAGGTAATAAATGAGTGACCTTAAAATATTCTGTTATGTGACGTAAATTTCGTATAAACACTACGTCATTGTTTCCGAATTTTCCTTTATTTTTATTCGTCATCATTTTCCTTGGTAGTAGATTTGTCGGGGCTAATTATCCTCTTGCCTTGTACTGTACTGTGCGCCTTACTCATCTTCCACCTCACCCCTCCCCTCCAGTGCCTAGTCGTCCTCCCCTTCCTCTCCTCCTCTCCACCCCTTTTCCTCCTTCCCTTCTCCTTCTCTTCCTCTTCTTCCTCCCCTTCAGCGCCTCCTCCCCCTCCTCCCTCTGACCCCGGACGTGCCCTCTGAGGTCAGTCATCAGCTATTCATGGTGTCATCGTAGGCCCTCTCCCGTTCCCAGTGACGTCACGGATACAGGACCGATATCATTGGTTTTCTCGTTCTCACTGGCTCCACCCACTTTCACGTGACGTCATAGATAGTGGAATTCGTGTTACTGATAGTCGTTATCATTGGTTCCTCGTAACCTTCTAGTGTCGTCACGGGCAGAGAAATATGATATGATTGGTTGTCTCGCTATCATTGGGTCCACTTGATCTCCAGTAACTCCAACTTGTAATACTAATAGTTGTTATCATTG